TGTGTAGGCTTTGGGTGATTTTTTTTTGGTTCTCGAACATAGGATATAGGAGAATAGGATCCTCCATATTTACACATAGCCTGCTATCTTTCATTGTTTTTGAGTAATGAGCAGATTCCAGAAATTTGTATTTAGAGAGCAACCGATATGCGTTCAGTTTACGCTTTCCTTTAACGTATTGGATCCATTTCCGATGGCAAGCTGTAAGCAGGAACTTGTCATGTGTCTACTTAGTTTGATATTGATGTATCAATTTTTGCGATCAGGAGGAGGAGGACACACGGACAGAACATCATATCGATTGAAAATATTGTATATACATATTATGTGGTATACACCCATTATTCTGTGTGGTAGATATTAAAAATTTGGATTTTTGAAAATTCTACAGTGGTGTAAATTCCTAACGAACATTTTTTTAGTTTTAACTAATATTATAAAGAGCATCGGATATTTATTTATTTAAACAATTTCGATTCACACCTGCATCTCAATTATAGGCTCCATCTAGCTAACATAGCAGATAGAAGAAAACGAATCTTGAAACTATGCAATTAACGAGCAAAAGTAAGAAATATTAGATGTAATAATGATAACAACCACACCACCAGCGCATCCGTAATCGTATCAATTAACAGAAATAATGCCATGTAGGCTGTCATTTCAGTGCAAATATGCCACAACATAGGAAAGATGAATTAATCGATTTAATTTGAGTACGATATCAGTAGTACGCGGAAGAGATTAGGTTATAAACATAATTTAAACTTTTGCAAAGGACTCTAAGCGAGTTAAAAAGCTCAGCGTTGCATTTGCATTGCCTGACTTTCATAAAAAGGTAGTCCGTTGAAATGCGAATGGGAACATTAAAGTTAACCTCATTTAGCAAAAACCGGCATTTAACAGTTTCGCCAGGAAGGTAACACCTAAGACAAGCCTACGCTTCTCGAGTGATGGCAAGGATATAAGTAGTAACCTATAATCGTACGGTGGCATATTCCAGCTTACGTGGCACCCAACTCATATGAAATTTTTTCGTAATGTAAATGTCATCAAAATTCCTTGTCCAGCATTTAATAAGACCTAATAATGATCTACGTTTATTCACACAATGTTCAATATGTAAACTGAAACGAAGTTTATGGTCGGTCGAACAGAACACCAAGATCTAGGAAAGCATTTGCATTTTCCAACTTGTAAGAGTCGTTTAAGTATTACGTTATGAATGAACTTTAATTCAATGTTATATTGGAGCAGACATCATCAGCGTACATTAAGATAAGAGACGATTGCCGATTAACTAAATAACATGGGAAGCCTAAGCAGTAGAGTTTCCTTATTAATAATTTCTCATCAATTTTGTCAAAGGCCTTACTAAAATCGGCTTAAATGAGGTCCATTTTTGTACAATTAAAGAAAACCTTAAATGCAAAACAGACGAATTCAAGGATGCGTGGCTAACTCGACACGTTAAAATGATCTCGAATAGCTTGGGTAACGCAATAAGTTTTGCATCGCCTTTAGAGTTTTTAACTATTACCCTTAAAAAGCGGGAGAAAAAAAAGCTTGCATACACACATACAACATAGTAGATATCTGTCTGTTTCGAGAGAAGGATTTGTGGAAGCTAAGTTTAACAAATCAACCTCCGAAGCAATATTTTCAGCAGTATCGCTATTAACAGTATTACTAGGAGCAGTATTATTGACATCAAGATTTTGAGCAAATGTACGGCCAATAGGCAAAGAGGGACATGCGGAAGGAATACCATCATAAACGACATAGCGGTTTATGGGGGATGATATTCCCCCATTTATTAAACAAGTCCTGCTGCTTATGAAGCTACCATAGAGAACAGTTAATTTTTAGAATCATCCGCAAATCCCTGCTTGATTTAGGAAAATAGGGCATAGAACTTAATTTCCCTGCCCCTACAGCCGTG